CCTCAATGCCCAATCGAGCCGGCACCACTGCCACAACCGGGAAGGTGTGGATGTAGTTCGAACGCCTCCTCTTGTTTGGTTTGGAGTCAGGGTTTTTGGCCAAGTCCCCTAGGTGAACTAACCTTGGTCCACTAACCCGGTTATAGCCCCGGATATCGGCTTTTCGTCTCCTCACTTTGGTAGGAAAACACGTCCGCCATGAGAAGGCAGTGAGTAGGTTTTCCTCAACAGAGGCTATTCGAGACGCTTGGTCGTATGGAAGCATTTCGCGAGGTGCAAGGGAAGGGTGACCAGCCGCAACCCCAGATACCCACCCCCGACTATACTAGTGGGTAAAAAAATTCATAGGTGATCAAACGAAGAACTAGCTTAGTAGTATAAGTTGCGTTATGTTCCCCAAATGGGGACCTCGGGATCATTGTAGTCAATGGTTAGAGGCTCTGAGTGATATGGTTGAGTATCGTAAAGAGTGGCACTGGTGCATCTTCTTAGTTCATTTTTGCAACCGTAGTCTACTGGAATTCTTCATTGTCTCTTCGATTCTCCTTTCACCTTTCCAATCTTTCTCCCACTCCTTCATTCAAATGGGCAGTCAGAAGACAGTAGCCAGAGCGGCTGCACGAAAGTGCATGGTTGTTGGTGGTAAAACTGAACTGTTAACTTTTGTTGACTTCAGTAAAACGTCAGTCACCAACACGTCGGATCTTCTCTATTGAATTCGGATTCCAGAATCGCCACATCTAATGTTCACCAGTGTTGCCCCGCTTCACTGTGTGATAGAGCGAAAAGCCTTTTCCAGACTGTAAATGCACCTACGTTATACATGGGATTTTAGTGGAATTAAACAACTTGGTATGTCATACTAATCAACTAAGGTATACGGGATATGCTGATCTGCTCCGAGGGGCAGTGGGATCGTCTACTTAATCTTTTCGAAAACATCTCGTCAAACGACCAAAAGGTCACAGAAATGTTCGAGCACTCATAACGCGCGAACAGACTCTGAGGTCTCGTGTCTACGCATCTCAAACCAGGTCGACCCTACTGAAAAGGGGAGATCCATTATTCTCCGTGTACAGAGGGATTAATGTGACTATCAATCTTGTCTTGATCATCGTCCGTGATTGGTTTAGGTTGGGTAATTGGTTCACTATCAGGTAACTAATTAATATAGCAATACGCACTAATCCTGATTGTCCATAAACGCCGGCGAGTTTGTCAGAATTAATGAATTCTTCCCAGCAGTAGGGAAATAACTCTCACTATTATTAGGCTATGTGATCGGACGAGTTGTGATGCAGTCAGCTTGCTTATGAATAGCGTACCTATCATGAAGGCTATGGAGGCATAACAAATGAACTTCATTTCTCAATCTATCACAATTCAGTTATCGCCGTCAGTTGGTCACAAATCTTTTCTCCGGCTCATCAAATGTTCCAGGTCCTTCCGGCCTCGTGTTTCGCATTGGGCTGTTGGCAAGTTGGTCGTCGACGATGGAAACTCGACCTGTTGGCGAAAATAGACGAAAATGTGAAGAAACCACCTATCCCATTACCCCGAGAGTACGTCCGCCCAATCGAACTGACTCGTGCCGTTTTCATTTTGTAGCGTGAACACAAGCTTAGATCTTCCAGAATACTTACCGGTTACTGTTCGTGGTCAATTCGATCATTCACGTGAAGTCTATATGGGACCGCGCGCCCTGATTGCTGATTTGGTTCCGGACAGTGTGCTCGAATGTGGAAACAAAATAATGCCTACTCCGGAGGAGAAGTCCAATTCGACACAAGAGCAACGTCGGAAGCATGTACCACACTTAAGTCTGCCGGGTTATTTTGTGATTACTCCTTTCTTCCTGGCCGATCGTCCGGGGTAAGTTGGATTACCATTGTATCAAAGGTTCCATCCTGCTTCATCCAGACAGAGCATCCTCGTCAACCGAGGCTGGGTTCATATGGACCTACTTGATCCAGCCACTCGTCCCATGGGCCAAGTAAATTTGCTTTTTGTGTAAATATTTGCGAATACACGAAGTTATTTATTGTGTTCAATGCTGAGTAAACTTTCTACTAGGAAATGACAGAGAACATCCTTTACACACGGAGATGATCTGTGATTTGCGTTTTAAATCAGTAACAGTGAAAATGTAGAGAGCACGGTTTCACGTGTTCTCCTTTATCATACTTGTAACTTGTAACTTCAGTCTATGAAAATGTGCTACCTTTCGCTTTAATCTGCTCTCAACATTCTAATCATCATTCTGCTATTTTATCCAAATGGGCAACCAAAACCGGCTCACGAAAGTGCATAGTTAATGGTTGTAAGAACTGAACTGAACCGAACTGATACTTCCAGTCACTTTTTAGGGGTATACTAGTTAGCTTGGGTAGACACTGTCGTCCGTTACAATATCATACATTAACTATTGTAGCCTTATGTGCCACATTACGTTAAGGCCCAGGAAAACTGTTGGTGCATGTTCTTACTGCACAGTAGATCTCTATGGTTATGGCTTTCACTTGTTCCAATGCAATAAAAAGGACTTGGGAATCAGGTCAAGAAATCCCCTTTCCTCATCACGAAATTTTGCTTCTTTATAGGGGTTTGTTAAGTAGTGCAAAATTGTCTCAGTGCTTTTAGTGCCTCTTTAGGATGTGTTTAATGGTGATGTATTCTATTCATCTGAACTTTTTCTTCAGCATTTATGTACTTCAGTTTATGGAAATATTTGAGGACCGAAATAGAGACAGTTAACGTTGGGGTTTTTATATTCCTTTATTCAATAGACCTATATTTCACTCCCCCCCACCTCTAAACCTTAACTTGTCTTCTACGTTTGAGTGAATCAATCAGATATTGCATTCCTTTGGTATACTACTGCAATCTTCCCACCCTAAGCATTTTTGGGGCTATCAGTAACCTCGAAAAACCCTTCTTTCCTCCGACATGTCTACGTCATGTCAACAAATTTGACTCATTCGTCTATGCTGGCTCATCTAAGGTGGATGACAGAAAATAAATCCGTCATATATATATATATATATATATATGCTGGAAAGGGCATACAGAAAGTTGGGTGGTGTTAGCGGTGATGGGGTTTGAACAAACGACCTCTGTGGCAACGGGATAGCGAACAATAGCACTTGACCACTGCCATACAATTTGTACGAATTGGTACAACTCATCTACTAACCTTAACTGAAATACCCTGGTGTCAATGCCCTTAATATTCGCTTCTTTATTTGCTATCATAGTATTCGCTCTAACGGTTGGTGCATTTTTATCGTTTATCATCTATTTTTAAAGAACTTTTTCAGAGTTATGGCATTTTTGTTGTTGCAGTTTTGTTCGCCTTCTTTGGTTCGATGCGCAAGAGAGCGAATATACATCGTAGTCTCACAGGTCTACAAGCCAATGGCGAGACCCGATAGTATGTCTATTGAAACCTAAAGTGACGAATCAAGAAGTGTCTCCAGAAGTCTGACGTAGTTTCATAGCATCGATATATACATGCGTATATTTTCACACACGTCCGAATCCAGACTGTGTGCGGAACAAATCATGGTACAATAATCTCTATGAAAAAGAAAAACGTTCCATGATTTGCATGTGGGCGAAATAATGCCAGGTTGCCCAGGCCAAGGCATGTGAATTTTATTGAGCAATCCACAACCGGAGCCTTCGGCCTGACCCTCAAGGAAGCGGGGCGGTGTGCGAAAACCACAATCCATTGGGAGCCGGTACGCAGTTCATCAGATCATACGCTCTTCGGAACGGGTCAAACGTCCAAGGTGCCTAATACACCTCAATGCCCAATCGAGCCGGCACCACTGCCACAACCGGGAAGGTGTGGATGTAGTTCGAACGCCTCCTCTTGTTTGGTTTGGAGTCAGGGTTTTTGGCCAAGTCCCCTAGGTGAACTAACCTTGGTCCACTAACCCGGTTATAGCCCCGGATATCGGCTTTTCGTCTCCTCACTTTGGTAGGAAAACACGTCCGCCATGAGAAGGCAGTGAGTAGGTTTTCCTCAACAGAGGCTATTCGAGACGCTTGGTCGTATGGAAGCATTTCGCGAGGTGCAAGGGAAGGGTGACCAGCCACACCTCCAAGCATCCACCTCCGACCACACTGAGGTTTCTGTAGGTATATATCATGGATGTATCTGCCAAGTGTGCTCTCGCTGAAATATCTGAGACCTACATAACTTTTGTGTGTCGATGACCTTGTTACAACACACACTCATAAGTGACTTAGATGTATGACAACTTTTTTCTCACCGTCCTGATTTCCCCTTCTCCGTAATTCATGCTTTTTCTCCTTCCTTCCTATCCATTTCAGGTAAAGGGGACTGTAACTATTTCAGGATACAATCGTTATCCCGAAGCGGTGAGTCATCGTTTTGGCCGAAGTCGTATTTCCCCAACTACCGTTTCACTCGCATGTTGCGGGCATATTATTGGGGTTCCTTATCCATTTGCGTTATTTTCTTGACCAGTATCTTTCACGATCAGCTTTTTATCTCTATGGAACCAGCCGCATTCGTTCACTCAGTCAGCTCAGCGATTAGTGAGTTCATAATCATCATAATCATCTGGAGCCTACTACTTCCCGCATTTGTTATTTCATCAATTCATGTAAGCGTCAAGTAACTCTCTAGCTCTTTATCTTCTTTGTCATCTCTGCTGAATCTTTTCCTTTCTCATCTTGTTGCACTAAATCCATCAAGTAGTTTTCTGCAGTTGTATATGAGGTGTGGTGTACTTGGCAGTCTAGTTCATATCGCCGCCTGTTTGTACATCTGTTCATTGCTGTCGTTTTGGGGTTGTTTGATTTTATTCATTTTTTAGGCCCTTTCTATGGGACCTTTCTCAATGCTCGTAGGATCTCCAAATAAAAAAGACCCGCATACTCATCCGCAATATTTCAACCGCCAAGTGGATGATATGGCTCAAACCCTGGGTACATTACCCATATTCATCGACGCAACCTACGGTGAGTTCTTATGACCTGTTTACTTTCGAGAATCATTTCTCACTCCCCGGACACGTATGCTAATCAATCCAATTCTGACTAAACTTGTGAGGTGTGTCCATCAGCGCCGTCCTGATCACCTGACTGTTGGTTATATCCTGCTAAAATCTCGCTAACCGCGTAATGAATTCGGCGGTTCTTCCATTGGCAGCAGTTGCACATGCAACCGGTCTTTAGGCCGATGATCAGGAAAAGGCGTCAACACGGAAATAGGCAAATCAAAAGCAGGCTGAAGCGTTAAATAAAAGTCGGAATGCGGTCAAACAGAGTATTCAGGCCATCAACCAAGGCGGGCAGTTCAGTGTCACAATGTGATTGGTTGGATTGGATCAATATCGGAATAAGGTGGGTTTACGTGTGTGTTAGCGGGTGACGTCAATCAATCAATTAGGCCACAGGCATGTGCGTTAAATGTTACAGTCAACTGTGGGTAACAACACTAACATCTGCTCTTTTCCTTTTCGGTTAGTCTCTTATTTGCCACGAATTCTACCCTCTCAGCTCCATAGAAAAAAGTACACATTGAAAAAGCCAAATGTTATGCTCTTTTTGCTGTTACAACCCATTGAATAATATTAGACTTGCCAGGTCATGAAATGTTGTCATGTGTTATGACACCTGTCTTATTTGGTTCCACAATGCTGTCGGTGAAATCAAAAACCATCCATTTACAGTAGGGTATCCTCTGTATTCTTATTCAGTCAGGATTCATGTACACAAACAACATAACGATAAGACTGCACCTTGACGCGGTGTGATGGCTTGTGCACCTCTGTGACCCAACGAGCTACACAGGATGGCTTTATAATGCCAGGAGATCTTATCATGCCTGTAAGGTCAATGGGTAGAGGTCAGACGAAGTTCAGTCTCCTGGTCCTCCAGGTTGGGGGTTCGCCTGGAATTTGGCGTTTCAGTCGATAAAAAGCGGTGGAGGAGTAATTGATCCAAGTAAATGGGCCTCCACTTCGCCTCATCCGCTGCCTTACGGCCAGGATCTTGTCAGAACTAAAGGCTGTGGTTGAGAATCCTAATCGTTCTCCTGCTTAGCGGTTAGACTCCCTGGCAGTACCCATCCATAAAGCTCCAATTAGCGCAAAATAAAAATAATTTTATACTGCATCGGTTGTCGCGCAGGATAATCAGAACGGCGCTGCCCATTGCATCGAGCTGGATGGGTAGGGACAAGTGGGCTACTGCTCAGATATTCCAACCTTTGTTTAACTCTTTATCTTCCGTACGTAACGCTATTCCTTTACCCCTTCTTCCGACCCGTAATATTTCCTTGGACAACTTGGTCGTCACTCGCCAAAGGTCGTTGCCAAATAGCCTGTTTTCCGGTAAATGAAGTGCAGATTTTGAAGCCTCGTTAACCTCTCAATCTCGGGACCTTCGACGTGAGGACTCGTATGCATGTGGGTCAACAAGTGTGTCTTGTGCGTACAATGAAGTCTTTAGCAATTGATGTCTGTTGCGTGTCAGAGACACGAATTCAAGATCCTAGTATTGTAAGCCACTTGAGTTCACCGGGTCTGTCCTCCAGGTATTTCCTTCGTACATCAGGAGACGATGGAGCCCGATCACTTGGTCAGCGTTGCGTAGGGATCGTACGAAACGGTAAAGCTGAAGCTTCACTGATAGATTGGATACCTGTTAATATTTGGTTGTGCGCAATGAGGCTACAGGGCTTAGTTAGTGTTCAGAACAGCAACACCAATAGACGTGTTCATTATTTCCGCATATGCACCAACCAACTGCAGTCCCACTTCATAGAAGGACGAATTTTACGGCAAACTCGCCGAACTCATTCGGTTGAACCGCAGCTCTGATATTACAGTGCAGGTTGGAAAACTGATCGCAGGCGAAACCTGCCTAGGAGGGCATTTCGCTCTTCCCGCCCAGCGAACAAATAACGGTGATCGACTACTTCAGTTCTGCGCGGACCATCAGTTCTTCTTATCTAGCACCAACTTTCGACACAAATCTCGTCGAACGGCCGCATGCTGTTCTAATTCAACGTGGATTTGACCGAAATTGACCTCATAGCTGTAAGCTACCGTTGGTTCAGTACAAAATTGCAGATCCTATTGGATCACCCGCGTTTAGACGGATCACGCATTAGTTCTGTTATGCTTGACTCTTCGACTTATCGGTCATAGGTAGAAATCGCCTCCTCAGTTAGCTCATCATCGTCTGCGCGATCCTTCTGTCTGCGTACGTTATGAGAAGAAGCTGGAACAGTAACCAGGAGAACCGCGGCATAGTGGAGTAGACCAACAGTGAGACAAAATTAGATTTGCGATGCACTCAGCAGCATACTTCGCTTGTGGGACCGAGCCCGAAGTTCGCCGAAGACATTGAATCTCTCAGGAGACTGTAATCCTGATGGATAAAAAGCGAAAGATCCCAATCTGCCAAGATCAGCATAGGAACGGGTGGCGTCTGCAACGTCAACTCAGGAATAGCCTTAAGAAAGATCGTGAAAATTGGTGGGCAGAAATAGCTAGTGAAATGGAGGAGCTTCTGCATCAGGGAATAGTTAAAGACTGTTTCACCTGATACGCAGTACCGGAGGCCGTCGCATACCGTCCAGTGAGACCATTTGCGACAAGAGAGGACAGAGTATCCACAATAAAGAAGAATGACTTGATCGATGGGCAGGGTATTTTAGGGAACGGTTCAATTTTCTTAGTGTTAATACTGTCACTCCAGCCATTGCAGCGGAAACCCCACCGGTTTTAACATGTGAGCCCCTATCAGAATTGGAAGTACGAAGCTGCATTCAATCATTAAAGAAAGGGAAGATTGCGGGACCTGATGGCCTTTTCCCTATTCTTCTCAAGGTGGACGGTGATTCTCTTATCGATTCGATTACTAGCCTACTTCGCAGCATTTGGTCGGAGTGTATCCTTTTATCCTGGGGTGAATCGTTGATCGTCCCGATCTTCAAGAAGGGATCACGCAACGACTGCGCAAACCACCGCGGGATTAGTTTAGTTCCACTAATCACTTCTGGGATACTTCGTCGCCTGACACCTTTAAGGTTGATGAATATCCGCGAACAGCAAACCGGATTCCGACAAGGTCGCGGTTTCATCGACCAAGTCTTCTCTGCGTCAAGTCCTCGAATTGCGTCACACACCTCGTCGGCCAACAATCGCTTTGTTCCTTGACCCAAAAGGAGCATTCGATTCAGTTGACCGTGAAGCTTTTATGGTGTCGCTGCTCCGCAAAGGAATGCCGCAGAAGTATGTAAACCTATCACGACGAGACTACATTTTTACGTGGTGTGATGGCTTGTGCACCTCTGTGACCCAACGAGCTACACAGGATGGCTTTATAATGCCAGGAGATCTTATCATGCCTGTAAGGTCAATGGGTAGAGGTCAGACGAAGTTCAGTCTCCTGGTCCTCCAGGTTGGGGGTTCGCCTGGAATTTGGCGTTTCAGTCGATAAAAAGCGGTGGAGGAGTAATTGATCCAAGTAAATGGGCCTCCACTTCGCCTCATCCGCTGCCTTACGGCCAGGATCTTGTCAGAACTAAAGGCTGTGGTTGAGAATCCTAATCGTTCTCCTGCTTAGCGGTTAGACTCCCTGGCAGTACCCATCCATAAAGCTCCAATTAGCGCAAAATAAAAATAATTTTATACTGCATCGGTTGTCGCGCAGGATAATCAGAACGGCGCTGCCCATTGCATCGAGCTGGATGGGTAGGGACAAGTGGGCTACTGCTCAGATATTCCAACCTTTGTTTAACTCTTTATCTTCCGTACGTAACGCTATTCCTTTACCCCTTCTTCCGACCCGTAATATTTCCTTGGACAACTTGGTCGTCACTCGCCAAAGGTCGTTGCCAAATAGCACTGTAAGTGATTTACCACGGAATGGATAGCAGTTTCTAAAGCCTCGTCAATCGTTGAATCTGGGGGCCTTCAACGTGAGGACTTTGATGGAGCTAGGTCAACAAGCTTGTCTGGCTCGTACAATGGAATCCTCAGGAATCGATATTTGCTGCGTGTCGGAACCTCGGATCCAAAATCCTACTACTCTTATCCACTTGAGCGCGCCAGATTTGTCGACGAGATACGTTTTTTGCACATCAGTGACGATGTAGCTCGTTCAGTAGGTTAGCGCGGGGTAGGTCTTGTACTTAGTAATAGGGGGAATCCTCTTCTATCCATTGGATCCCCTTCAACACTCGTTGATGTACTGTGCGTCTCCAGGGTTCAATCAGCGTCCGGAAAGGAGGCAACAGCAAAAAGTGTTTGTTTATCATATCATCATATGCACCGACCAATTGCAGTTCTGATACCCGAAAGGACGCTTTCCACGATGAACTCAGCGAACTCATTCGGATGGGTCGAAGCTCCGACATAGTTGCACTTGCAAGTGACTTCAACGCGCAAGTTGGAAATCTTAGCGCATCAGAAGCTTGCTTAGGCGATAGTTGTGCTCTACCCTGCCATCGAACAGACAACGGCGATCGACTTCTTCAGTTCTGCGCAGACCATCATCTGTTCCTATCAAGCATCAACTTCCGACAGCTCTCGACGTACGGCAACGTGGCGCTCCAGTTCAACTGGTACGCTAACTCAAATCGATCACATCGCAGTAAGTTACCGTTGGCGTGGCTCAGTGCGAAATTGCAGGTCTTATTGGACCACCTGCGTTGAGTTTGACCACGCATTAGTTCTGATGCAGTTTACTCCCCGAATGACTGGTCGGCGACAAAACCAGCAAGCTCGGATGGCTCATCAACGACTATCTGCTCCAGCCGTTCGTGCACGCTATGAGTCAGCGCCAGTGCATAAGCTAAGTACGCTTCAGCGTGGTGATGTAGACGAGCAGTGGGATCAGATTAGGTGAGCAATGCATTCCGCAGCGAATGTTGCTTGTGGGTCTGAGCCTCAAACCCATCGGAGGCATTGGGTATCTCAGGAGTCAATAGTCTTGATGGAGCAAAAACGGCAGATCCCGACCTGCCAAGATCAAAATAGAGTGAGGCGGCAGCTACAACGTCGGCTCACGAAGTCTCAAGAAGGACCGTGAGAACTGGTGGGCAACAATAGATAGTGAAATGGAGGTAGCAGCTGCATCAGGAAATAGTCAAATACTGTTTCGACTGATAAGCAATACCGGAGGTCGGCGAACTCCAGTTAGTGAAACAGTCTGCGATAAGAGGGGACGAACTATTCACAATGGGGATCAACGACTCGATCGCTGGGCAGAATACTTCAGCGAACAGCTGGCCTAGTGCTAACCAGACTGCTTCATCTCCAAATGAAGCTCCGTGGGCAATGTCATGCGATCCTCCAACGGAAGCAGAAGTTCGGTCTTGCATTCAAGCTCTGATGCGAGGAAAGGCAGCAGGATCTGATGAGCTCCCTCCCATTCTTTTCAAGATGGGAGGTGATGACTTCGTAACCTCTATTACTACCCTACTGCGCAACATTAGGATGCAAGAGCACATTCCTTCATCTTGGGGGGAAATAACTAATCGTTCCCATTTTTAAGAAAGAATCCCGCTACAATTGGGAAAACCACCGCGGGATAAGTTCCATCCTGATCGTCACCAAAGTGCTAGCTTCGGTTATACTTCGACGTCCGACGCCTTTAAAAGAGGCCAACATCCGTGAACAGCAAGCCGGATTCCGACCTGGACGTGGATTTATTGATCAGATTTTTACGTTGCGTCAGATCCTTGAGCTGCGTCATACTCACCGTCGGCCAACGATCGCAGTGTTCCTTGACCTGAAAGGAGCCTTCGACTCAGTTGACCGCGAAGCTCTGATGGACTGCCTTCTTCGAAATGGAATGCCCCAGAAGTACGTTAACCCACTGAGGTCACTGTACTCACATACCTCCGGTCGTGTAAGGGTCTACAACGAACTAAGTAGGCTGTTCGTCACCAGCAGCGGTGTTCGTCAAGGGTGCCCTCTTTCGCCGTTCCTGTTCACTTTCGTC